CCCCCCTCCCCTCCCCTCCCCTTTTCTCTCTCTACCCCTTCTACTGTAAATCATTTCTTCCATTTGTATTATCTTGTCTTACCCCTCCTTATTTAGAGAATAACTAGTGTGTACAGAATTGCATTCATTAACTCGAAGGATTTTTACCTCCTACAGTGCTGGGCTTAAACCCAGGACTTCTACCTGGTAGGCAAGTGCTCTATCACTGACGTACACCCAGTGACCACAAGAAGCATTGCCCTGGTAGTCCCCTATCTGTTTTTCTGAGGCTGTTAAGGCTGGACCATAGCAGTTGCTTAGTGTTTCTCTGTGCATTGTCGGGGTCTGGAGCTTGTCCAGAGGCAATGTTGAGCTACACAGATATACTTGATAGTGTTGAATCACACAGCTTTTAGGAGGGACTTCGAAATGGAAGGAATAGGATCTAGAAAAATTCTTTGTGATCTGATAAGGGTTTTGGATAATCAGCTGTTTGGTTGGTTTTGGCGAGAAGCAAAACTAATAAGGATGTCAGATTGCGGGAGGCCCTCACGTCATGTGACCAGCGTTTTCCTCTCCTGATCAGTGGAGGCACTGTTGGTCACTCCCCATGATCTGGCCGCTTTTAAGTAGCCGAAGACGGTAGCCCCCATCTTGAGAGTAGTAAAAAATGCAGCCAAGTATGTCTTCATGTGTAGGCGTGCCTTCCTGCAGCCCCATGGGTCAAGCTACGTTCTCCTGTTCCTTTGTGATATTACCCCTTGCCCTGTTTGGGATAGAATGTTCCATAGAAACCCCCTTTGTGTGTCCCCTTCTCTAACTCTGCCCTTGGGTGTGGCCTTCCTAGATGTCAGTCAACCTGCTGACAGCAGACACCATAAGCTAGACTCAGCCCCTTGGAACCTGACCCCTTGCCTCATTTGAATGGCTTCTCCTCAATAAAAGGGGTCAGCACGTGCTTGCTCTCTCTCTCTTTATGTGGACCCTTAAGGTCAGAGGAGCCGTCACAGCACCCCAAAGAAAAAGGTGTCTCTGTCTCTTATGTGGTTATTTCRCATGGCCCAGTTTCCCTGGAGTGACCCCGAATGTTTTAGTCACAAGGAATGGAACATCAGATAGTATTTTTTCCTCAATAAGCATGAAATATTTTCAGTTGTTTTACAGGAAAACAACTTGTTATTTGAAGTTCTTTTATTTTTGACATGACATTATATTATATATCTCCCTTTAAACTCATTTCAAAATACCTATTTTTAACTCCTGAAAAAATGTTAACTTGATTTTTTAAGTTTTTTTTTGTTTGTTTTTGTACTAGGGATTAAACCCAGAGGTGCTCTGTAGCACTGAGCTACATTCCCAGCCCTTTTTATTTTCTTAATCTTAAGGTGGAAGTCTTCCTGAGTTGCCCATGCTGACCATGGACTTGTGATTCTCTTGCCTCAGCCACTTGAATAGCTGGGATTAGAGAATACCTCTAGAGCACTGCCACCATGTCCAGCTATTTTAGAAGTCCTGATATTTAGAAATTTGTCCCATATAGTTAAGCAGAGCATTATAAATCTTCTAACCCAAACCATAATTTTACATTATAAAGCACTTCATCTACATATAAGGTCATGCCAAATTTGTGATTACTTGGAACCATATCCTTAGGCTTCTGAGTCTTCAGTCTTTCCACTAGAGATTATGGCTTCAAATGAATTTATGTAATTTTTGCACAAAGACTTTCTTTTTCCCCTCTAGAGATTAGTGCCAGTTTGGTACCACCTTCTCTGGATCCAGGCCTGACTGTGAAAGACAGGATGTGGCATCTTCAGTCATGCTTGCAGAAGGAGTCTGATAAGGAATGTTCTGTCATCATCTATGATTTCATCCAGATCTATAAGATTCTTCTTCGGTCATGTGGCATCTCTCTGGAACAAAGTTATGAAGACCCTAAGGTTCTATGTTATATTTAATATTTTTGCACTTAAACACTGTTAGTGTTTAGAGTTAATTCTTAAGTGGCATGGTATTTATTTAGCTTCAGTAATTCAGTGTAAATCTTTTAGAGAAGTCATTTCTCTATCCACTAATCTCATGCACATATAATACAATACCATAATAGAAATGTCTGTGTGAAGAGAAAAACATAGATGTCACAAATCCTAAACCATAAAATTGATGATTTTGCTTAGAGCTTTTTTTAAAAAAATTAATTTTGGTCTTAAGTTGTAAGTTTTTGTTCCATGGTAAGTTAAATGAAAATAAAATTGTTAAAACTATTAGAATTCAGTATATAAAATCAGGATTTTTCAAATATTCATGAGGGCAGAGGCAGAAAATAGGAAAAGTCCATGAATAAAAGATGCCAAAAGAGAGGATATAGAGGCAAGTCACATTAGTAGTCTCTGAGTGTGTTCCTTTGTAATAGCAGAGTGTGACATATTCTTCAAAATGATGATCCTAAGTTATCAGGAGTCACATATGCCATTGTAATACACACTGAGCAGTAAAGTACACTTTTAGAACACATTTATTTATAATATCTTTAAAGATACATCCTTCCCCCATCTATTGATGCATGCAGTGTTAATTTAGAGTCGAGAATATACTATTTGACAGTTATCACTAGAGTCGAGAATATACTATTTGACAGTTATCACTAAAATAGTTAATGAAAATAGAATGAGTTTTAGTTTCTTAAGGTTTTTTTTTTTTTTTTTTTTCATGTGATGTTGGGAACCTAGGGCCTTGCACATACTCTGTGATTGCTCTGCCACTAAGCTATGTCTCCAACCCTAGTTTTTTAGGGTGTTCTCCCCCCCCCCGCCTTTTTTGGGGCAGATTTAAAGATTGTCACTTGATTTTGATGTGCTACAATCCAAAACAAGAATATGGGTTATGTGAGCCTCTCATTAAAAATATCCTAGATTTATATAGCAMCTTCTTTATAAACTACTTGAAATATTTCATAATCGGTTTTATTGATCACTTTTTAAAATTAGAGAATCATACATAGTATTTGGGTTCATTTTGACAAAATCATACATGCAAGGTATTTGATTTCAATCCCCATTACCTCCCCCTTTTCCTTCCCTCCCACTTCCCCCCCATTCTTACTCTTCTATTATTCTATCCTACATATACACAAAGGTGAAATTTCCTTTGGTACCTTTATATATGAATATGACATGATTCTGTTAAATTTATTTAGTTATCTTCCCCTTTCCCTACCTTCCTCCCTCTTTCTCATCCTCCGTCCACCCCACTGATCTTCCTTGTGTCTTTATGATATCTGACCCCTCCCCAACTGCTTTCTTTCCCTTTAGCTCTAGTTTTCACAGATGAGAAAAAGCATTTGACCCTTGGTTTTCTGAGTCTGGTTTATTTCACCTAGCATGATTTTATCCAGTTCCATCCATATACCAGCAGATGCCTGAGTAAAACTCCATGGTTAATGACAACACTTGATATAAGCAGATAAACTATTAATTTTTAAAATTTCATTTGTATAAGAAACCTTAGCCAATTTTTACATTAGTTTCTTTCATTCATTATTCCTCTAAAAAACTTTATTCTTAACTTACAAAATAAGTAACTGAGTCATATAGTAAATTTCAGAAGTATTGACAGTGTTTAGATTTCCTTTTTCTATATCCAGTTCTGGATCTCCTGGATCTACTGTTAGAAACTGCAATTCTCCTAATTTCATGGGGAAGCCGACCAGTTGGTTGGGCCTGGTGACAGACTCCCATGATGAAGGGAAAATATAAAGGCATTCTAAAACTCTGGGTATGAACTTTTATTAAAAAAATTTATTTTTTAGTTGTAGCTAGACACATACCTTTATTTTACTTATTTATTTTTATGTGGTGCTGAGGATTGAACCCAGGGTCTCGAACATGCTAGGCGAGTGCTCCACCCCGAGCCCCAGCCCCAGTCCTGGGTATAAACTTTTAATGGTAAAACATATATGCCTCACTCTGATGTTGAAAGAACTAAGTAAACCCCAAACCTTACATACTTATTTTTATTATAGTAAATTAGTTCACTTCAGCTTTGGTGGAGAAGCCTCTATTTTTATTCTCAGACACACTGTTTCAGTTGGCTGAGAGGCACTTGGTTTTCAAACCTGCTTCAGAATGAGACACTCAGGAGTGTTGTTGTGATGGGAAAGGTATATAACGTTTTCTTATTTGAAGGCCGCTGGTGTTATTGGTACCAAAAATGAGACCTGTTGCAGTTTATGCTTTTCTTCTCCTTTCCCAGGAAGACCACTAAATAAGTAATAATAAGGGAAATTATAAATGGATTATCTATTTCCCCTTTAATTTTAAGGGTGCAGAAAAGTCTTTGAAAAAAATCAGGAAAACATTCTGATCTCTGTCTCATTTAGGTGGCATGCTGGCTACTAGATCCAGATTCAAAGGAACCAACTCTTCATAGCATAGTTACCAGTTTTCTTCCTCATGAGCTCCCACTCCTAGAAGGATTGGAGACAGGCCAAGGAATTCAAAGCCTGGGGCTGAATGTCAACACTGAGCATTCTGGGCGGTACAGAGCGTCTGTAGAGTCCATTCTCACTTTCAGTTCCATGAATCAACTCAATTCTTTGTTGCAGAAGGAAAACCTTCAAGGTAAAATTTCCTGGATTTTTTGTTACAGATTGGGGAGTGTGTGTGTGTGTGTGTGTGTGTCTTAATTTTATCCAGTGGTTTTTATTCATGCTCGGAAGACACTTTTCACAGATTTTTAAAAGTGAGCTGTTATCTTTTTAGAGCTATTAACAATTRTTTCTTGTTTTTATTTTATTTGTTCTTTTTAGTTATACATGATAGTAGAGTCTATTTTGATATAATTATAGAAGCATGGAATATAGCTCATTCTAATTAGGACCCCAGTCTTGTGGATGTACATGATGGTGAGATTTACTGTGTTTTATTCATATATGTACATAGGAAAGTTGTGTCAGAGTCATTCCACTTATTTTTTTCCTTTTCCTATCCCCCTCCCCTTCCCTTCATCCCCTTTGTCTAATCCACTGAATTTCTATTCTCCCCCCACCAGTCTCTGCCTTATTGTGAGTTAGCTTCCACATACCAGAGAGAACCTTTGACATTTGGTTTTTCAGGATTGCCTCATTTCAGTTAGCATGATAGTCTCCAGAGCCATCCACTTACCTGCAAATGTCATAAAGTCATTCTTCTTTATGGCTGAGTAATACTCCATTGTGTAAATTTAATACATTTTCTTTATCCATTCACCTGTTGAATTGCACCTAGATTGGCTCCTTATTTTAGCTATTGTGGATTGTGTTGCTCTAAACATTGATGTGGCTGTTTCTCTGTACTATGCTGAATTTGACTCCTTTGGATATATACCAAGTAGTGGGATAGCTGAGTCATGTGATGATTCCATTCCTAATTTTCTGAGGAGTCTTCATCCTACTTTCCCAGAGTGTTTCTACTAATTTGCAGTCCTGCCAACAATGTATGAGTGTACTCTCATTGTTAGAGTTGATGAACCTACATTGACACATCATGTTTATACGATTCATGCATATTATAGTACGTTTCTGTGGTTTATTCATTTTTACTGCTGTGTAGTGTGTCACTATATGAATGTGCCCAAATTTCTCCATTTTCCTAATGATGAACATTTGGATTTGTTTCAGTTTTGTTTGTTTTGAGTTTCATTTTGCTATAATAAGTATTTCTATATGAATATTCTTACACATGTACATTTTCCTGGTACATATGGGCAAGAATTTCTCTTGGGTGTGGGATTGCTTTGTCATGAAAATAGAAATAATCAACAATTCAAGATTCTACTAAACTGTATTCCAGAATGATTGTGTAAGTTCACTCTCTAAACAGCAACATGTAATGGTGATCACATTCATATTGTCTCAACTTTGCCATTTACTTGGTTGTAAATGATGGTACCTTTTCTTTCTTTTGTCATCTTTTAGTTTTTATAACAAATTTATTCTAGCTTCATGAAATGAGTTGCAAATATAACCTATTTTTATTCTGGAGGAGTTTATATATTATTGGAATGATGTGTTCCTTGAAAGTTTGGTGAAATTTGCCTATAACTATTTCTCTGTGTAAAGATATTTAGCTGCAACTTTGATTTCTTTAACTGGAGGATTATTGAATTATTTTTTATTGTGTTTTATTAAGCCATAAGAGTTTATCTGTATATTCTAGATTTTCAAATTTATTGGCATAAAGCTGTTACTAATTCTCTTTTACATCTCTACTTTTTGTGAAAAAATTCAATATTTTTACATGTAAAAATGTTAAATACAGGGCTGGGGTTGTAGCTTAGCAGTAGAGTGCTCACCTAAGCACATGTGAGGCACTGGGTTCAATCCTCAGCACCACATTAAAATAAATAAATAAAATAAAGGTATTGTGTCCAACTACAACTTAAAAAAAAGTATCTAAAAAAATGTTAAATACATTTTTCATGTGTTTCTATTTGATGTGGTTATTGTTGTGTTTGCACTTTATTTTCCTACTGTTCTACATGGTTTCTATTCACTTTGATTTGTAAATGATTTATGCATACCTGTGCTCTATTCTGAGGAGTATACATCTGCAATCTTAGAGATCTAAATTTCTTGAGTCGCTGTCTTAGTCATTTTTGTTGTTTTGTTATTGAGACCAGAATATTGACAAGAACAACTTGGAGAAAGAAAAGTTTATTTTGGCTCATGGTTTCAGAGGTTCATTCCATGGGGGTCAACTCCATTGGTATGGTGGAGAGGTGGCAGAGGAAAGTTGTGCAGCTCATGGCAGCTGGGAAGCAGAGAGGAAGTGAGCAGCCAGGAAGACAAGATAGAGTCCTGACGGGTGCTACCCCAGTCTTATTTCCTCAAGCCATGCCCCATCTGCCTACAGTCACCACCCAGTAATCCATTCTGTTATTAATCCACCAAGTGGATCCCACTGATTAGGTTCCAGCTCTCACGATCTAATTATTTCACCTTTGAACATTCCAGTGTTGTTGGGCATGAGCTTTTTTTTGTGGGACACCTCATATCTAAACCCAAATAGTCCCATTCCTAACTTCTCTGCTAATTTGTGTATTCCATATTCTTTGTGAGTTCATACAGGATTTCATCAGTGGAACCCTAAGGACTAACTTGGGGAGAAGCCTTCCTGTAGAAAGGTTTTACTTTTGCCAAATTATACACATCCAAGAACTACATTAGCCTATCCTGAGGTTTTGTTGCAGAACAGGAGTCCCAGACTCAGTTCCTCCTCCTGTCACTGTGTCAAGGATCTGTAGCCCTTTAACATCTTTTTGCTGTAGGACTCCGTCTCCATGACAGCCCTGTTCTTTCTTACTGCCTGTGGATCCAGCCTGGCTCCCTGTCACTATTACTTGGCATTTCCCTGACTGTTCCTATTCTGACCCAAGTTCTTTATTTCACTGATCCTACATCACATGAATTTCTGTTCTAACTCAAAAAAGCCAGGCTCTGACTCCCCACTAATTTCTGCCGACTGTTAGAGGCCAGAGCTCTCATTTGTTTGCTTGTTTTGGTGGTGACTGTGGGTATCTCTGGAGATCCTTCTCTGCTGATTGAGAACCAGCAAGAGGTCAAAGAATGTTTACATGTGGAGCTAGGCAGGGTGGGCCAGGGTTGCTCAGGGTTTTAGAAGCTGAAGTCTTCGGAATGGATTTTTCTTGATGATGTAGGACAGCATTTCCCACAGTGCATTCAATGAATACTTACATTTTAGGATATTAATAGGCATGACATGAAATAAAGGGTTTTATGGTTAAGTAACTTCAAGTTGGAATTTGTTTTCTTCAAGTCTTCTCAGAGCCCTTAATGTATTAATAGTCATCATGAATATCTAACAATAGTATATAGATGCAGAAACTCACAATATACAGTATCTAAACTCCCACCCTTTTTGTAGGGCATCTTTAGAATTAATATTACAAGAAATGTACTGGGAAAACTGATTTAAAATGTCTACCCTGTTGAGAAATGTCTGCATATAGAAAGATGGTGATTTTTATTTCAGAAACTTATTTCTTTACTATTTGACAAGAGCATTGGAAAATATAAAACATCTATATTTAGTCCTTTGTGCAAGCATTTATTCTGTTGGGACCAGAAATATTGCAAATAACTGTAGAGAATTATCCCTTGTAGTCAGTTCAGCAAACAAAGCTGACTGMCTTACTCCTGTGAAGAGTAGAAGCAGAGCTATTGTCTTGGGAGAAATATAGTCTCCTATAATTCAGACTATTCCAGATGTTGTGCTCTGCATACACAAAGATAATAGTTGTTTTGAGAACTTGCTGAGGAGACTGGGATGTGAGATAACTTGGGTAACATCTCTGGATTGTCCTAGACCAATTCTATGTAGTTTAGGCAGTGCTGTAGTCACCTGGGCTGAATTAACATTTAATTCTTATCTTTTTTTTCTTTCAGATATTTTCTGTAAAGTAGAAATGCCTTCTCAATACTGCTTAGCTTTGCTGGAACTCAATGGAATTGGCTTTAGTACTGCAGAATGTGAAAGTCAAAAACATATCATGCAAGCCAAGCTGGATGCAATTGAGACTCAGGCCTATCAACTAGTTGGCCACAGCTTTTCCTTCACCAGTGCGGATGACATTGCCGAGGTAGTATCATGGGAACAGGGAGGTTAGAACATAATTTTTAGAGTTAAAATGAGGTGTTTGTGTGTATTTACTAAATTTGTTTACCTGAACACTAAAGATCAGTAAAATAAAACAGCTAATCAGAATGCACTGGGAATCGAATATTCCAGCACCAAATTAACATTTTACTGAAGAAACAGGAAAGTAGTAGAGAACATAGCAGGCATGGTCCAGGACAAGATTTGCCTGGATCACAGGTGGCACCCACTACATATATGTTGAACAGATGATCAGTCGTGGTGGTCCTGTGACAGAGTAGCTGTTGCTCTATGAAGTTAGTCTTTTCAAAAACTCTCGCCCACATCTTTCTTCAGAATAGACAATTGGGTATTTTTGTGAAATGCAAATAAAAAAAGGGATTTTGTGACTTTTCTGTTTTGAATCTAATTAGGATCTTTGTCAACTTACATGAATTTTGACAAAATTTACTTGTTTTATTTTCAAAGATTGGTGTTCTGTTCTCTCCTCTCATCACACTCTTTTACTGTTAAGGGTGGTCATGTTGTTTTTGAGGGGCTTCAAACACAACTGGTAGTGTGAACCTTCCTGGATCTTGTAGATATGATTCAGTACTGTAGCATGTTGATGAAGATCAAGGCTTGGAAGCCAGACTCTGGGGTTTGAGTCCTGCCTCCTCCATTTACATTAATTCTTTTTTTWAAAAATATATTTTAGTTGTACACAATACCTTTGTTTTTATTTATTTATTTTTATGTGGTGCTGAGGATCAAACTCAGGGCCTCGCACGCACTAGGCAAGTGCCCTACCTCTGAGCCCCAGCCCCAGCCCTTACATCACTTCTTTACATCTCAGTTTCTTCTTCATCAGTAAAATGGAGGTTGTTTCAAGGTATAAATGATAAATGTAAAATACTTGGAAGAGTGATCATCACATAGAAATTGAAGTGCCCATTTTTAAACCACAGAGTTACATGTTTTAAAGGAAACAAGGAACTTTGTTTCTCTTAATAATGTAGTATATCTGTATTGAATTCAGTGATACCTTTTTTCCTTGTGTGTGTGTTATGTTTTCTTTTGAATTCTTTAGCTTAGAAATACTCAAGTGAATACTTAGCTGACTGTGCAGATATTACACAGGGAACTTATTGAAAACATGAAATCTCTGGGTTTGGGCATAAGCAAGGTTGGGCAGGAACAAAGGCAAGTGCATCATAGGTCTAGACCAAACTCCAGGCTAAAGCAGGAGGCCCTTGCTATTGTTGGCTCCTCAGGTCTTCATGTTAAAATGGAAATTACCTGGAGAGGTAATTTGTATAGAAGCTTTCACAGTTAATTTTGAAGGGTTCACCAAAGAAAGACACTTAAGATAAAGAACTTTTAGATACATAATGTGATATATTTCTAATGTTATTATCACAATAAGTCTTCCTGGGATTATTGCTTTATTGTTACTTGAGTAATGCTCCATTTTTTTTTTTTTTTGGTATTCAGTTATTTGATTTTTTCTCCTATCCAGTCATTTTTATACCCTTTGATATCTGCACTAGGATTTCCTGATAAAATATAAGCTGCCAAGTTTAAAATATGAATTTCACATACACAGAAAATACTTGAGTAAAACTATAGCCTATGTAATTAAAATTGAACTAGCATCCTATAACTGTATTTGTTCAATGTTGCAACCTCAATTCCTATGCATGCTTATAGCCATATCTGTGTAACACAATTCTGTGACTAGTTACCAACACTCATAGTCAACCTCAATGCCGTTCACTCCTAAGTCCCCCATCATTGCCTCTACTGTGAACAGGAACCAGCTCTTGGTTTCTATCAGCACTTCTGTCCTAGGGAAACACAGGCATATCTCTCCCTCCATTCTTGTGCCAACTTGTCCAAAAAAATTCTTGTACTTATGCAGATGGTTTCAATTTTTTGAATTATTGCTGAAAAAAATTCCAAAGTTCATTAAATCCTTTCGAGATATGTGAGAGTAGACATACTAAATAATGCTCTGAATTGCCTGGATCTTAATCCCTCTAATTTGACTTAGTGAGGGTTAGGTTTACCCTGGAACTTTCCTCTGCCCCAGAGCCTGGATCCCTGTTCTGTATAGGCCCCGTTTCTTCATGGGTGCTTACTCTTCCCTTCATCGTTTCTACATTGTATTGGCCGTCTTTTAGGGACTTCCAGGATCCAGTGTTGTAGTGGTGGGCCTAGATGGCTTTCAGAGCCTTCCCCATAGTGTCCTCTGCTTTTTTGATCTCACAATGACAGTGTAAGATCCCATGTTGATTTTCTATTTTGGTTAATGACTGAGCAGTCACACTGATTATCACAGCACAAGATACTTAGGAGAGCTCAGAGTCTTCAGAGTAACCTCAAGTCTTAAAGGCAGTAGCATATTTGCTCTACTATTGAGCTACATGCTTAGCCCTCTCTTTTTTTTTTTACTTTGAGACAGGGTCTCACTAATTTGTTCGCACAACATATACATGTGCCTGTTTAAAAAGCTTGTGTTAGTATTTTTTGAAAGTGCCAAAATTAGAGTATGAACAACATACCTGATGGTAATTTTCATAATTCCAAATTGTCCAAAGAAATGTTCTCCTAACCCATATTAAACTGTAGAGATTATTTTCCAAATAACTTTGCAAAACTATTTTCTGAATGACAGTACTTGCAATTTGATTCTTGACTAAAGAAGCATTCATTTCTTTCAGGTTTTATTTTTGGAATTGAAGTTGCCACCAAATGGAGAAATGAAAATTCAAGGCAGCAAGAAAACTTTGGGTTCTACCAGAAGGGGGCATGACGGTGGACGCAAGTCAAGGCTGGGGAGAAGATTCAGCACTAGTAAGGTGCTCTTTGGGGCAGTCACAGAGCAGAATCTGAACTACTTTTAGCATTTTGGTGTCTTGAAATAATGCTGATGAAATCAAGATCCCATGTAAACCAGCACTTTAACTTACCCAGATATAAATAAACGAATACTTTATGATTCAGTAGCCACAGAATCAGTGGAGAAATTTCAGCATAAAAAACTGGGACTGTAATGTGAGTTGTGTCTCTCCTAACATTAAAACAGAGTGAAGGTTTATGCACTCAGATCTACAGACATAATTTAATTATTATTATACTACTCTGGGAGCTCCAATGTAATTTAACTTGTATAGTTATATGAACATAGAGAATGGTATAGAAGAAGGAAAACTAATTTTTTTTCCAGTTTCAGGGAAAAATTTAAGTTTCTATGAATTTGTTTTGAGAATCATATCTGCTATTTTCAAAGGAAATTTGTTAATGACAATACATGGAATCTCTATGCATTAGTGGGAGAGAAGAGAGAAAGGGCTTACTTTTATTTTTACTGAAGTTTCAATGGAAAAAATAAGGATAGAAAATGCAGCCACAGAAGCAGTGGAGAGATGTCCAAGTTGCCATTCTGTACAATTTTTGACCCTTACATCACTAACTGTGACTTGTGTGCATTTGGGAAGTGTCTGCAGCTCTGTGCTCTATGACTTTTGATTAGTCTCATGGTCCTTTCATCTCACATGTTTCTATTTGGTTCATCGAAAGTCCCATGTTGCATGGAAATGCCAAAGTTTTAAAAATAAATATCTCCTGATTTCCTTGATATGGAAACCATGTAAGTATCAGGACAAGAAGGAAGACAACTGGGATACTTCCAATCTTGTAAGGAATCCTGGTATTAGGAAAAAGAAATGTGTAAAGAAAAGAGATGATGTAACTTCTTAGTCGGGGGTGGGGTGGGTTTACTTTATTAAGCTGTCTGAATTTACTTTTTTAAGCTATCTGAATTGATAGTGCTCAGCATTACTATGTTTGCATTTTATAACCTGTACTTAACCATAGTTTTATCAAGATGGTGATGTTTCCCTTTTTTTTTTTTTTTTCAGTAGTACTGAGGATTGGACCCAGGGGTGCTTTGCCATTGAGCAGTTCTATTTTTTTTTTTTTTTTTATTTTGAGGCAGGGTCTTGCAAAGTTGTCCAGGCTAGTCTTGAACTTGTGATCTTCCTGCCTCAGCCTCCCAAACTCAGGGATTACAGGCACTTGCCACTGTGTCCAATCCACTATTGTGATTTCTAAAGCAACCCTAGAAGTGATTTTGATTGCAAATATAGGATTTGTCAAACTAAATTTTTTTTTTTTTTTTTTTTTTGTGGTGCTGGGGATTGAACCCAGGGCCTTGTGCATGTGAGACAAGCACTCTACAAAGTGAGCTATATCCGAAGCCCTTCAAAACTAAATTTTGATACTGTATTGTTTACCTAAAAGAGAAACTTGTTTGCTATGGAATTTGGATAAAAATTTAATCTTACCTTGCTATATTTCTTTGGCAGGATGTTTTAAATAAATTAAAGGCATTACATCCTTTACCAGGCTTGATATTAGAGTGGAGAAGAATCACTAATGCTATTACCAAAGTGGTCTTTCCCCTGCAGCGGGAAAAGCGTCTGAATCCTTTTCTTGGAATGGAAAGAATCTATCCTGTATCACAGTCACACACAGCTACAGGTGATGAGAAATGTTAAATGATTTCCAATTTTGAAGTGAAATCAAATTCATATATAACATTTGCTTGTGACAATCTAGGAATTCAAGTGTTGATCATTGGATTCAATGAAGTTCCACATCATTTATAAAACATATACTTCCTGCAAAGCATAGCTAGACACCACCTGGATACTGAGATGAGTTTTATTAAGATACATTTCCTGCTTTCAAGTATATATATAGAGTAACTGGTGTCTGACACACGATGTTTCCCCTAAGAGTATACATGGGAATTCAGTACTTGCATCAATGATCTTATCTTACCTTAGTGCCAGCCCTTTCCTGAGCCTCTTAAGATTCTTTCCTTCAAGCATCATGGAGATTCCTCAGAAAACTAGGAATGGAAATACCATATGACCCAGCTATCCCACGCCTTGGTACTTATCCAAAAAACCCTAAAATCAGCACACTATAGCAATGTGGGCACCTCAATGTTTATGGCAGCCCAATGCACAATAGCCAAATTATGGAATCCACCCAGATGCCTGTCAATAGATGAATGGATTAAGAAACGGTGGTCTATATACACAATGGAGTTCTGCTTAGCCATAAAGAACAATGAAACTATGGCATTTGCTGGTAAATGGATGGAAATGGAGAACATCATGCTGAGTGAAATATGCCAGACCCAGACACTSAAAGGTCAAATGTTTACTCTCACATGTGGAAATTATTTTAAAATTAAGGAAAGGAGGGAGGATAGGATATAGGGAAGATCAGTAGTGCAGAAGAAGGTGATCAAGTGGCAGAGTGGAAGGAATGGCAAAGGGAAGGAAATGCAGAACGAATTCTTAAAAAATAATGTTATGTGTGTCTATAAATATACCATAGGGAAATCCACCTTTATGTGTAAGTATAAAGAACCAATCCAAGATAAATAAATAGATGAGCGAAAGAAAGTCGTTATAGTTGAGGAAGGAGAAAAGAGAATGGGGGTGGAGGTGGAGGTGGGGAGAACAGGAGAGAAAAGGGGGAGTGTGGGAACTGAAACTGAATCCCTTGCATGTATGATTTTGTCGGGATGAACCCAACTTCCATGTATAACTATAACGCTCTAATAAAACAGAAGGAAAGAGCTGAAGCTCAGTAGGCCTCTGGGGCATCTGTGTATAAGTGTCTTACTTTCTGAAGTGGGAAGGAAAGCTGTAGAGTCCTTTGGGTGTCTCATGTCCTCCTAGAATAAGTATGCATATAATCTGATAAAGAAGCACTCTTTCTCTAGGCAATACAAAACTTTACTTGCCAAACATGATGTGCAATGGAAGAAAGGACAGTTATAAACTTGTTCACAGGTTGCCCCCACTTTTCTGACTGTGGGTTACAGTGCAGGTGAGGTGACTGCAGACACAGTCCACCGGTTTCCTGGAGTTGAGCTGATGGTGACAGATATCTAGGGGAGGCCCAGGTGTTCAGACTTCACAGGACAGAGTACTGAAGAAGACAGAGCTATACAGCAGCTAGCTCTGGAGATTTGCATGGGTCCTCTGGGTTATTAGCTGAGCAAGGATCAGCACAGGCCTGTGAGGAAGCTGCCAGAAACCAGGGAGAGAATCCCCCGAAAGAATCAGAGGAAATTATTTCTGGGTTTGCCCAGAGCGAGAAACTATTCCTGAGCCCAAGAGCCAGACTGACAAACCTCATGTTCCTGGGGCACGAATGCTTCCATCTTAGGTCCGTGATCAGCTCTAGACTCAGGGTTGCCTGATCCAGCCGAGCAGGCTTAGAAGTAAGAACCAAAGCCTCAGATCTCTTCTGATCAAATCCTTTGCCTATATATATATGTATATATATATTTTTTTTCAGTTGGATTTTGTTTTCTTTTACTGAGTTTTAAGAGCCCTTCAGATACTCTTAATACAAGACATAATGTGGTTTTCAAAAAAAAATTTAAATAATGGGTCTGATAATATTTTAAAATGTACTTCTTAAAGTCATTTTAGTATTAACCTACTATATTTTCAAGGAAAATAAATTTGAAATTAGGTTTGTGACTGCCTTTATTTCACACAAGCTCATGAATGTTTTTAGTTATGATATATATCATACTTACAGAAATGTATAATGTATACATATATATATTTTAAAAATAACGAATCATTCATAGAGGCGGCAGTTTCAACTGGTGATATGGAATGTGGGCTCTGAATCAGAAATCACAGTTTGAATCCTGGTGCTGTGAATCTTTAGACAGGTGCTTCCTGCCTCAGTGCCTTAAGTTTTTTCCTATAGAAAAGAAAGTCAGAACAGTCCTGCCTCACTGGTCATTCTGAGGATTAAGTAGGTTAATTCTGCTGAGTGCTTAGACTAGCACATGCTTCTGGGAAAGTGCTTGGTATTAGTTCCTCTGTTATTTTTTTTTCACATTGCCACATTTTTATTTGGTCCAGTATGTTTTAACATGCACAACCTATATACAACAAAATAAAAACCATCTCTAATCCTACCATCAGCACTTTTTGTTAATTTTATTTTTGATTAGCATGTATTATACACATTAATGGGTTAAGTATGATATTTGGCTACATGTACACTATGACCCTTATCTACCCTTTCCCCTTCCCAGTCTCTGATAATCACTATGATACATTCAGATTGACTTTTAAACACACACACACACACACACACACACACACACACACGAGAGAGAGAGAGAGAGAGAGAGAGAGAGAGAGAGAGAGAGAGAGAGAGAGAGGAAGAAGAAGAAGAAGAAGAAGAGGAGGAGGAGGAGGAGGAGGAGGAGGAGGGAGAAGGAGAAGGAGAAGAAGATGAAGATGATGATATGGTACTTGTCTTTGGTGTCTGGCTTATTTCACTCAACATGATCTCTTACAGTTGCTAAACTATTTAAAGTAGAGACACTCTTTGTTCTAAACAACTTTCTCTTTTCCTTTGTGTCTATTAAGCTAACCTCTTGGTCTTTTCTAGCAATTTCTTTTGGTATTTAAATATCACTTTGGAACACTTGCTAATGCTTTGTAAATTTGTGTAAAATAAAATACTTGGTGCTAAAACAAAAGCACCCTACGGTTTTCAAAGATGTTACATTTATTTGTTGCTCATAAAGCAGAAGGTAGTCAATTCTCTTTCTATTATTGATTTTAGAAATAATATATTTTAATAATGTTGCATAATTTTATAATAATATTTTAGAAATGTAAGCTTACCTAAGCATGGCAAAACTATTTCATGATTAGAATTCACTTTCACTAAGCTATTTGCATGTTGTATAATTTATTTTTAGAATCTTTTTTTGTCTGCCAGTGTTACCTTATTAATTCAACTAATAGGCCAAGGCAGCATGCTAAATATGAACTATATTCTAGAAAAGAAGAAAGTGTGCTGAGGTGGAAAGAGCCTTGGATGCCTGCCTTTGCTATTTGCTAGCTTTGTGACACAAAAGGGGACATTTAATAATAATAATTATATTTCAAGCTACCATTAATTAAACACTTATTTTGTGCTAAAAGCTAAATAAAAAGAATACAAAATTAGGTTTTTATTCAGAAAAATGATGTCTAAGGCATTCAAAATGTCCAATTCATCAGAAGAAACAGCAGCTACTAGAAGAGCCCATTATAGGGAATAGTTCATCATAGAGGATTTTAATGTTGCTAATGGCAAGAACAAAATTAATGGCCCAAATACTTTTTATATGTTTTAAAGAAGTTCAATCAATAATAAACTATTAAAATTTGTGTGTGTGGGGGGGGAATAAAGGCTTTATAATCACTTAAAAACAGTTATTTACTAGAAACACCTGATTCTAGTCTCCAGCCAGGTCAGTACTAATGTTTTCTTGAATGATAGTGCTGATGAGAAAACCAGCCAGGAGGTGTCTGAAAGTGAGGTCCAGTTGCCCCTCAATGCTGCTCCTGCGCACAGTGCCCTGCCGTGGTGACATTGTTCTCCAAGGTCCAGCTGCTCTTCTGCTGTCCACCCTCCTCTCTGGCCTGTGCACCCTGGCTTGACAACTCCGATGTTCATTCCTGCTAAGGTCTATTTGAGTTGCCCGGACTCGTTCATGTGCCTGCTAACCTGTTGTGCTGACATTGGGCACTCATTTTAGCACAGGAATAGTTCAGTTTATCAGTTTGCATGGGATCACTTTTCCAGGGAGCTAAGTGAATGTAGAACACAGGCATTTATTTTGGAATGGTTTTGTACTTATTGTTAGATGCACGAAAATGATGAAAATTTTCATTTGTTCTAAATTTAGTTTATCATTGATAGAGCATGCATTTTAAAGGATAATTCAGAAATGCAAGGCTGATTAATTTTTTTTTCTAATTTTATGTCTTTCTCCTGCTTGATTTTAGGACGAATAACTTTTACAGAACCAAATATCCAGAACGTGCCAAGGGATTTTGAGATCAAAATGCCAACACTAGTAGAGGAAAGTCCTCCTTCCCAGGCCCCAGGGAAAAGCCTGCTTCTCACCGGCAGGTAAGCTCTGTTTCTCTGTATTGGTATCAATACCCTTTTGTGAGTATGAATGGCAAAAATAGCCTCTTATACAAAATAATGAAATGAGTTTAAATTTTGAGTTCTAGACATACCCATTTTTTCTAGGTTCTACCATTTTAAATCCTGAGTTTGTCTGTAGAAAAGCTATTTGATAGTGGGAGTCTGAAAACCCCGGCTATTAATTGAATCAACCAGCAGTTAATCTGACTTTTAATTCAGATCCTGAAGGGAAGAGGTTAGCAATGCCAGCAGTACCTCCCCTGCCCTCCTGTACGCACATGATAGGAAGAAACAGCACTGATAGTTTATGAGATATGGTCAGAGATTTGTTGAGTTAATTTAGAGTCAGTTGTCTCAGAATTGGTTTGTGGAAAGGACTGTTTGTAGAAATGTTACACATCACACTTAATGTTAATCAAATATTTGCCAAAACCTGTTAAGTTTAAAAGTGAGTTCAGGTTGGGTTGTTTTTAAGTTTCTTAAACAAAAATATTAACTGGACTGAAAAACTGGACCTTTCATATTTTTGAGATGCTTCATGTTCAGTTGATGATGTTGTTTGTACCACAGAGGACAAAATAAGAAGAGTTGCGTCCCAAACCCTGGACACCAGGCACAGATGGGCAAGAAAGCTGCAGACAGAGGGATGCCGTTTGCGGTGAGCATGCGCCATGCCTTCATCCCTTTTCCAGGTAATGGATTTTGAGCTTCTCATTGTCTGATCATTGCTGTGGGAACGTTTTCAAATCATTGAAGCTGTCCCTGGGACTCAGGGACATTGACCCCTTGTCATTCCTCTCTGCAGTGGAGCTCATCTTCCCAGGTTTTGCCAGGCTGATGGCTGTCGTTTATCATTGCCTTCATGATTTGCCCTCTGTGCAACTTCTTTGGTGTAGCTCAGTGGCAGCTGTCTGCTGAAATCATGGATTCTAAGGCCACTGAAAACTCTTTGCCGAATCCAGTGGATTTTGCCAGTCCTCATTCTCTTGCACTTCCCTGTAGCATTTGTTCCTGTTCATCAACTCTCTGCTTCCTGACTCTCTCTCCTCCTCTGACTTCTAAGAGCACAGATTTTATTGTTTTGGTCTCTCTGACTTGTTTGCTCCCATGTTTCTTCTCCCTTTCTGCCCACTGCTGCTTCCTGTGGCATGGGGTCACCCCCAGGTTGTCCTTATGCTGCCTGACCTCAGTCTCTAGCCATTGACCTATTTGTCATTAAGACATGTGGAAGTCCTGTGGAACTCCTGAGTCCTCCCGGCTTTTAGCATGCATGTTTACTCTTGATGTTTTGCAAGGTGGCCACCCTGGGTGAGTGTGATGAACCCTCTGAATTTATCTTCAATTCTGTCAGAAACTTGAGGTCCATAGGTGAACTTGAGGTCTGTGATAACACAACCTGCTCGGCAATTTTCAGTTTCATTTTTTAAGTATGATCTACCGGCGCACAAAGTTCAGACCTAACCAATGGAGTTTTTAGAGCTCTTTATTTGAGCTGATTGGTGATTTCTTATGGAGACATGCAGTCCTGAGTGTCTTCTTTTAGTTCAAGGACAGGAGTGTGGCTGGATTTAAAAGCATTGTTGCATAATAGGAGTGTAGTGTGAGGCACATCAGAATTTGAAAATTTTTAGTAGCCACATTGGGAAGATTTCCCCAGTTCCAGCATTTGAAATGAGCCTTTTTTCTTTTCATTTTGATCTGTTCACCATTTTTTTTTCTCTGTGCTTAAATGGGATAATTTCTATTGACTGTTTGATGTTCACTGATCTTTTCTTCTATAGTGTCTAATCATTGTCACAGCATTCTGGTCAATTTTACATTTCAGATATTGTATTTTTCACTTTAGAATTTTCAGTTGGTTCTTTTTGTAGTTTTTATAACTTCATTGCAATTCACTATTATATCATTATGTTCTTTAAATTCCTGAATACATTTTAGATAGCTTTTAAAAATTCCATTATCTCTGATTTCTGGGTCACTTTTCTATTGATTGAATTCTCTCCTGCTCAGTTACTTTTACCTGGTTCTCCATATGTCTCTGATTTTTTGGTGTGTCTGGACATTATGGTTTCTACCTTGTTAACTCTTTGGATTTTGTAGTTTACACTAGTAGGATATACATTTGTTCTGGCGAGCAATATACTTTCAATCTTGAACATTTTGAGACTTTCCAAGTCTGCACTCAAGGGCTGTGTTAGCCTGGTTAATGAGGTGTGATCTTTCTAGGGTCTCTTCTTGGTGTTCAAGTAGTTCAGAAAGTCTCTCCATCTAGTCTGGTCAGAGCTTGGATTTCTCATTCCAGAGTGTGTGTCTTAACCAAGCAGTTCTTGCCAACCGTTATGCTATGGAGGTTCTTTCTTCAGGAATAATTATTCTTCTTTCCTGGTTCCCGGTACTCTCCCAGCACAGTTTAATATTTGGCCCCAAATCCAAAGGCGTTCTTATGCACGTCTGGTGCTCTTTTTGTGCATAGTTCCTTTCTCTATGAATTCTCACCAATTCTAGTGCCTCACAAGCCCAAACTCTAGTCTGTTTCCTTAGCTCAGAAGGAATTGTGCTTTATTTCAGCTCCAGGTCCTTCAGTACATCAGGGGAAATGTCTCCATTCAGAAACCTGAGACAGTTGTAAGGCCCACCTCATGTCYCTCCCTTCTCTGTGCTAATAGTGGGGCAGTGCCTGTTGCTTAACCTCTCAGAATAATTATTTCATAGAAATAACTGCACCTAAGAGTATCCTGAATACCTTGCCAATATTTCTTTAGCAAATATAAGCAAATATGAATATGTAATCTTTTTTTTCCCCTGTTGCAAAAATTAGCATTCCATTTATACTGTTGTCTGGGCTTTTCAATAAAAATTTTATATTAGATTAGATTGTACATATCAGTAAAGAAATTTGAATACGAGCTGGTTTATTCCATGTGTGGGTAATCTGTGCAGCAATCTGGGTTTGTTTGGTGAGTCACAGACCTGTTTAATTTTGATAGATATTGTCAAATTGTCATCATGAGAAGGTCAGCATTTTACTTCCTGGAAACATCTCAGTGTTTCTTTCTCTATAGCCAGAGTGTATTGTCCAAACTTCCATTTTTTTGCAATTTAAGGGAAGAAAATTTGTTTTTGCTAGATTTAGTTTCAATTTCTCTTATTATGAATGAAGATAAACATTCTTTAATATGTTTAAAATTCTTTAGTTTTGATTATTTCTGTGAACTGTTTACTTGTATTTTGTCTGTTCTTGATCTGTAGCAACTCTTTTTTTTTTAATATGGCAGTGATTCTTTTATGATAGCAAAATTTTAAAATTTTTTTTTTACCCTGCTTTTATTTTATTTTATTTTTTTAAAGGAGAGAGAGAGAGAGAGAGAGAAAATCTTTTTTTTTTTTTTGTAGATGGACACAACACAATGCCTTTATTTTTATGTGGTGCCCCATGCTAAGTGAGAGCTCTACCGCTGAGCCACAATCCCAGCCCAATACTGCTTTTATTTTCGCTATGTATGTATGAGCCATTCATTTCTACTCCATAGGTAAATTATCTTAATCCTTTTAATAACTCTTCCTTACTTATTGACCACTTGATGTTTTTCATTACATGTCTACTATTGAAGCAAAGTACATTTCTCTCCAGCCCACTTAATATATTCACTCATTAGACAGTTTCTCCATTAGTTAATTAATAATTAATTCAACAACTATTCTTCTTATGTACCAGAAACTGCAAATATTTCCATAGAATGAAAAGAAAATATAAGTCTTCTATTCATAAGGACCCAGTGCCATGTGAGTGAGGCATGAAAGAGCCATTTTATTTGTGCCAGGTGCTATGGCAGCACTGAGGAAAGCACTGCTTTGTGCTTAGGGGACAGATGTCAGGGTAGCTTTACACATATTACATATACTTGAAAGCTAAACAGAAAAAAATGATCTAATATACAGAACCAAATTGCATTATACTGAAAAAACTTTTGAACACATTGAACTCAAAGTTCTAAATGAGAACTTGTATAGAGGTTATACAAAAAAAACAAACAAACAGAAATCCTGGAAATGAAGGAAATTATAAACCAAATTAAAAACTCAAATGAGAGTATCACCAGTAGAGTACACCAATTAGAAGTCAGAACATCAGACAACAAAGACAAAATATAGCATCTCGAAAAGAGTCTTGTACAAGCTTTTTAAAGATCATTTCTATTTCAGGTGGCTTAATATTGGCTGCTGATTATTCTCAGCTTGAACTGAGAATCTTGGCTCATTTATCTCAAGATTATCGTCTCATTCATGTATTAAACACTGGAGCTGATGTTTTCAGGAGCATCGCAGCAGAATGGAAGATGATGGACCCACAGTCTGTTGGAGATGATCTGAGGCAACAAGCAAAACAGGTGATCCTGGTGGACATGTTTAATATAAATGGGAAGGATTTAGTGGTTCAAAAAATTTTAAGTGATTTTAATTATTTTCAGTTTAAGAACCATTTTTCTGTCTTTTCATCTTTCCAAYCTCATTCAGTACTCATCTCATGGTATTCATTACACTTTCCTTTGTAAAAATAATAGAAAGAATGAGATAGACTAAGATCTGAGGCCACTCTGTGTCAGAATGGCATGTGTATTTAAGACCATAATATGGCTAGTCAGAGCACCTGGTATTTAGTACAAGCTCATTTAAAAGTGATGTATTTCATTGTGTTTATGGTTGTATGTTTTTATTTTATGGTTGTATGTTTATATTTTAAATCTCTTTCTAGTCAGTAAATGTCCTGATATCAAGTTCCATATTTTCATTTTTACTTGCCTACAGCAAGGGGCTAAAATACATTGTATAGAAAGTGCTCTCAAATATTTTTTGAGAAAATTTGGCTGAGCTGTGGATTACAATTAATGACTGATTTCGTTTTAGCTTTTTGAGGACTGTGAACCTTCATGCTGACTTGTATCTTTGAAGTGGATCCATGCAAATTCCTACTCCTGCTTGAGAAGGTCAAAGCCACACTTACACACTTCCTAGCCTATATCAACACTGACACTTCTTACCAAGTGCCCTGTGGGGCATCTGACCCATTTTCCAGGGAGCAGGATTGTTGGCTAAGAGGCATACCCAAGCTCTAAGGCCTTCTGTGTTCATTTTACATTTGCACTTTCAGTTACTTACTGCTGAAATGCTTACCAATCCATGAGTATCACTATCTTCATTTTGTGGATGAAGAAATAAAATACAAAGAGGTTAGATGGCTAGTGCAAGATTTATGTCTTGTGAATGGTGGAAGTAGGAGTGAACCCAGGCAGTAATTATTATCAGTTAATATCCATCAGCGTTTCTTTAGTGGCCTCACCTAGACCATTCTCCTGCACTTCTCCCAAATTTCCTCAGGAGTTTTTATTTGTTTTTAACTCAGACAAATTCTAAATTTGTGGGATTTCAGGAGGCTGTGAGTTGAGGAAGGTATTTATTTCCAGGAATTTCTGTTCACTTACTCTCTTCCTTTACTCATTCCAGCCCCTCAAAAAGTGATGCCAAAATGCAGTACAGATGTTCAGTGGATATTAACCTCTGTGAATTTAAACCATCAAAGCAGATCTCATCATTTCTTTGATCCACCATGAAATTAAAGATTTACAAAAATTTTAATCCTAATGAATTCTGTATTGCATTTTATATAGTTATGACTTTTAATTTGCTTTCTAAGTGTGATGACTCCTTTTCAGATTTGCTATGGAATCATTTATGGGATGGGAGCTAAATCTCTAGGAGAGCAGATGGGCATTAAAGAAGAAGATGCTGCTTGCTATATTGATTCCTTCAAGTCCAGGTACACAGGTGAGGATCTTGAGTGCTGATTCCCCTCTCTGCCACCTAGCTGACCATGTTAGATTAAATTAAAGTCAGGTTTTCATCAGACATTGTTAGGAGCAAATAACATTAACCTTACTAATGATTGTTTAATACAATATACTTTTTTTTTCTTTCCATAAAAGGGACAGATACAGAATAGCAAAATACAGTTGCTGAATATGCTATTGTGTCACTGTGTTTGGGACTTGAGCTAGGGGCTTAGATAGCATTAGTTTGAAACAATAAGCCACGGATTAAATGTACTAGGAACTCAAAAATGTGATAGGTTTTACTATGTCTATTGAAACCAATGAATGAAATGAAGGATGACTTTGGTTGTTAGTTATTTCTGTATTTTCTTTCTTAGGGATTAATCATTTCATGAAAGAGACAGTGAAGAATTGTAAAAGAGATGGCTTTGTTCAGACCATTTTGGGAAGGCGAAGGTACTTGCCAGGAATCAAAGACAACAACCCTTATCATAAAGCTCATGTATGTTGAAGTTTCTCTGATTTTAACTTCATATTTCAATGACATGTATTTTTTCAACAAAGGCTAAGTACTACTAATGTCCCTTTTTAGGAATACTAGACTATTAATTGGATCTTTTGAATCAACAAGGGTAATCATTGATTTTATTGATGACTTCTGCATTGGTAACTATAGAACTTTTCTAACCTTATTCCTTTTATTGCTTCTGCTTGACTTCCTGGCTAGGACAATGTAAAATAGAAGTAGGGCAGTGTTCCAAAGAAGTGTGTTTGTCTCCTTTCATACTCAGAGGGAAAAATGTAAGCATATTACCCATGAATAGAACTTTCCTTGACATTTTTAATGGTGCCTGCATCAGATAAAGGAAATACTAATAGGCTTTAGATTCTGGGTCACAACTCTTCAACCCTTTGGTGTAGTACAAAAGATGTCACAGATAATACATGAATGAGTGAGGCTGTGTTCCAAGAAAAGTTTATCTGTAGAAATAGGAGGTGGTCTAGATTTGGTCTGCAGACCAGTTTGCTGATCCTTTTTTAAATTGTTGCTTCATTGATTATAATTTGCCTGTTTTTCCCTTCAGTTGTTTTCAGTATATTTTTCTTTCTGTCTGATTTTGACCATATTTTCTGCCCTGTGCCTAAGACTGTGTGGTTTTTAATTGTGTTTATATTGTGGGGAGGGCTAATTGAGGCTTCCTGAATTTGTGGTTTGACATGTTTTGCTGACTTTGGAAAACTGTTAGACACTACTTTAACTACTGTTTCATCATATTCTTTTCTCTTTTTTCTAGAACTCCTGTTATAAATTATAAGCTTATTTTTTTCAGTCCCTTATGTTTCATATTCTTCTGTATTTTCCACATTTACATTTCATCATACTTTATTCTGAATTTTTAAATTTTTTAAATAAATGCATTCTGAATATTTTTAATTTAGTTTTCACTTCACTGATTGATTCATTGATGTGCTGTTAAAACACCTATTGAGTGTTTATGTTATTTTAATGTTTTTAGTTCTAGAATTTGTTTTGTTCTCATTTTATGATATATAACCCTTTTGATGAAAAGTTCAGTTTTTTTTCTTATGTCCTTGAATATATCAAACAGGATTATAGAGTTGACTAAGTTTGATAATAGTTGATCAACTGGTGAATCTCATATTCTTGTACTCTGTTCTTTTTGCCTTTTGTTTTTCTTAGTTTTCCATAGAAAGTTATATTGTCTTAATTTCTTATTGTCCTAGTTAGTTTTTCTTGAGTGTTAAGCATTGTATATTGGAAGATTGAGGAAGTAATTTATCTTGTTTGATGATTTTGCTTTCATTCAGAGAAAATGTATCATTGCTTCTTAGAAGCAGGAGGACCAGAAACCAACAATATAGGATTACCCTAGAGACAGAAATGATTTGAAGCAAAATGGCAGGGTCACACTGTTTTAATTTATCTTTTTTCCTTGAGTATTGGTTTTGGGTTGCAACCTGATGATTACCAGGTCCTTTTATACTTGTGGGGCCCTGAACTCAAATGTTTGTTTCCTTAAAATCCTAAAGACTAAGAGTTCTGCTCAGCTTTTTAGCTTCTCAGCTTCTGCTTCTAGAATATTTTTGTTCCTCTGGGAGAAATGAGAGTCTCCAATGCCAGGATCTCTTCCTTTTGTTTTCTTTCTTTCCTAGTTCTCTAGTTTCTAGATTTTTTTTTTAACCTGCTTTTCATCTGACTCATTCAGAGAGGCTTTTTCTGACTACCTTTTTCAGCAGAGATACTGTCAGTGGGAGGATTGGTCTTAATGGCCAAGTCTTCCATTTCCAGAAGACCACATTTTTTTATGTAGATAAAAAAATACTGGTAATGAAAGCATTGAACTTTGTGGGACCCAGCCCAAACTGCCAAATTTCCTTAATTTGGAAGAGAATCAGAGAAGTAACAATGCCATAAAGTATATATTATTTGTTTCTGTGTTTGCTTAGCGAAATCATCCCCAGAATTTCAGTGGATTAAATAAAGAAGGTTTATTGTGCATTCATGTTACAGTTTGGCTCCATGTTGATCATGGCTTTGCTCCACATTTTCTTCATTCTGGAATGAAGTCTTTACCTGGGATATACCCCCTTTTTTGTGTGTGTGATAGTGTTGTGTGTCACTCTCACATTTCATTGGCCAAAACTAGCATAGGCTGTCCTTTCATAGGGGACAGCACTTGAAATTGCATGGGTATGGGTGGGGCATTGTAAGTGACAGAAAGGCAGCAAGGAATCATGACAGGAAATGTCTAGTTTCAAGGAGCAAGAGTCAGTATAACTGAAATTATTCAGTCATTCTTTAAACAGTGACAACCAAGTTTACAGTGGATTCATTAGCATTTGACAAGCAACAAGTTACTTTCTTTTCTTTTTCTTTTTATTAAGGTATACCTCTTCAACATTTATTTAACCTCCTAAAAGTTGTTTGTAAGCCAGGTGGCAGGGAACTTGAGAGGAACTCTGAGTTACATTGAGTAGACACCTGCCATTTGTTTTTTAGAAATTTTTGGGCATCAGGAGTGATATTCATGGAGAGKTTATACCAGATATAAACTCAGGTATCTTCCCCTATTGTTCTGGTATAATTAATTTTAGCAGCCATAATTGCCCAGCCAAGAAGCTCCTGGCAGCCATCATTTCCTGAAAGTTTTAAGGTATCACCAAGAGATCCAAGATCTGCACTTTCTCTAGCAGCTAATGTAGCCATGTAGCCTCAGCAGCCGATAAAAAGCACTGATTCTTATCAGCTGGAGCCAAACTCAATTAAGGACGAACAGGCCAGTGGTATGGGGGATATGCTTCCGTCCCACAGCACAAAGAATGATGCTCTACCTACATCTATAAGATTAAGGGTATTTTGAGGAATAGCTAGGTACAGCGTTGCACCTTGAGAGGCTAAGGCAGGGGGATTGCAAGTCTGGGGCCACTCTGGTCAATTTAGCAAAATCCTTGTCTCAAAATTAAAAGTCTGGAATGTAGCCTAATGGTGGATTGCCACCGAGTTCAATCCTCAGAACTGTTAAAAAAAAAAAAAAAAAAAGAAGCAAAAGAAAAAGTACTTTGAGGAATAAATCCTTTAGAGAGGAGTTTAGAATAGCTAGAACACTGATGGCATATTTTTCTAAGATAAAATGATTTTGAGTTACTGAATATATTCTAAATACTATGCAGATTTGGGGCCTAGTTGAGTACTGAAGATTTCTAAACTGAAACAAGCCTGACTTTTAACACAGTCTAAAGGAAATGTGTGGCCACTACAGAATCTAGAGCCAAGGATCATTGTGGTTGTTATTCTTAGGATGCAGCCTAATAGTTGATGTTCTGGGTCATGTCTCAGTCCAAATTTCCATTCTGACAGCAAATATGAATACTGATCTGTGGACACTCAGGTCAAGCAGAAAACCATGTTGGTGCATCTGATAGAGCACCTGTTGTATTTTATAGGCTGAGCGTCAAGCCATCAACACTACAGTCCAAGGATCAGCGGCTGATATAGTCAAAATAGCCACAGTTAACATTCAGAAGCAACTAGAGACCCTCCACTCAACCTTCAAGTCCCATGGCCATCGGGAGGGTAAGCTCCAGATCAATAGAACAGGTTTGTCCCTTGATGGAGGCCCTGCTATAACATGGTGAAAACAATATTATCAGAAAAAAGGGAAGTTTTTTATATTTTATTTCTCACCAGTTCTCAATGTTTTCATACTCTTTGAAATTATTAAGGATCCCAAATAATTTTTGTTAATGTGGGTTATATGTATTGTATTTACCATATTAAAAATCAAAGCAGGGAATGTTATTTTTCTCTCTCCACATTTTTTATTGGTGCATTATAGCTGTACATAATGATGGGATTTGTTGTGACATATTTATACATGCATACCATATAACAATATAATTTAGCTAATATCACTCCCCAACACTTTCCTCCTCCTTCCCCTCCTCCCACCTCTTAGTCCCTTTCCTCTACAGAGCTCCCTTTGCTTTTCATGAGATCCCGCTGTACCCCACCTCCTTTCTTTTCCTTTTTCCTCTGAGTTTGGCTTATTTTGCTTATCATAATGGTCTCCAGTGATAGGTCACCTAGATATGTCATTGAAGATGAGTTATGGTGCCATATGCGGTTAAAGATAGTCAAGGTTGGGACCATCAAAAGGAGGCTATCCCAGGGCACAATGACATGCTATTCATTTTTCCTGCTTTTTCCTGAGATAGGATTGTTACCAAAGAGAAAACTGCAAGGGATGTTCTGCCAGAACAGAGGAGGCTTCTTCATCCTTCAACTTCATGATGAACTGTTATATGAAGTGGCAGAAGAGGATGTTGTCCAGGTATTTTTGCAGAGTGTGGTTCACTCCATAGGGAGCTAAACCTCTTGGGTGAGGCCACTCACTTTTTCCTGTGCATGAGGTTTTGGGGGCCCTTCAYGGGCTGCAGGGTGGCTAGATGCTTGTTGAGTTCTTACAGCTACAGAAGAGCTTAGAGTGCTCAGTTTCATACTTAATCTTAAAAGTAAAGAAATCCCTGATGCTGGGATAATTTTGTTAGGATAAGCTAACAATTTGGAGTCTTGCCCTGAGGGTTTCCAAGCTCTGAATGTTCTAGCTAAAGCTGTCAGGCCTTCTGCCCATCAGTGAAGGGCCTTTTGAGATTCCTGGCTCTTTTCTGATTGTGTTTTAAGCACCTTTGGTTTATCACCCTGTCAGTGGATGGGTTGGGAAACAGCCTTTGACCTGACAGAGTTTGTTAACCTCAAAAAACTGTTTTCTTTTGTAGGTAGCTCAGATCGTCAAGAAGGAAATGGAGAGTGCCATAAAGCTTTCTGTGAAATTGAAAGTGAAAGTGAAAATAGGTGCTAGCTGGGGAGAGCTGAAGGACTTTGATATATAACCCTGCAGTTGACTAAGCCCCAGGGAAGCCTGGTGCAGATATTGTCACCTGGGAAGAACAGAGACGGCCCTTTCACCTACTTCATGAACACAAATTCTCAGGTMTTGATAGATTTAAGATAATTCTGTAGTGAGGGTCTTTCTCTACAACAGTAAAAAAGATGTTGAGGGTAGGGAGGGGGGTAATATACCAAGTTCAGTGATTATATTCACTCTGAAAGAATATTTTGGATTAGCCTTTCATAATTTAAATTGGGGGCTTTAAACAGGTTCAGAACGTATGCTTGAAATATGCACTTAGCACTTAAGCTCCTTATCTACCTGACTGACTAGGAAAGCTGAGCCACAGCCTTAGAGGCATCCTCAGGGGTCCTGGAATCAGGCTCCCCTGGTACAAACCCATCAGGGACCAGTCGGATGAGGATGGGGTTCCTTGTACACCACCAGGGTTCAGCACTGTGTGTGATGTTTTCCCTCCAATATTTATTTAAAAGACTAATGAAATAGTATTTTAAATTAGCATGGCTAATAAATTATGAATTCCATAAAGTAGGAAGACTTGGAATAGTTGGAACCTAAGAATGAATTTTTATGAAATGTTTATTCTTCTCTAGTTGATAGAAGGAAAACATTTCCAATACTTATATATGTATTATAAAATGTGCTGTACCTCTTCACAGGCACGTCCTGTTCTGTAAGATTAGATTTATTGCAGCGGAGCATAGCACTGCCCCTGTGACATGGGGAGAATATGCCTGCCGCAAAGACTGAACTTTGTAATCCCAATCAGAAGTACAGAACTGATCTGGTTTTTTTTTCTGTTGACATAAAATGAATTTATGAGAAACTTCTTAAGAGTGGTTTCTTTTATTAAAAATTTTATTTGGTGTAAGAGTATCAGAAACCCGTGTCCCTTATTTACTCTTTCTGTAGCTTGTTCAACAGTGAGCATACAACAAGCATTTATTATATTCTTAATCAATTATTAGAAGAGTTCTTTTATGTTGATGAATCAGTGTAAAGAAAAAAGTTGCTTCATAGGTAAAGTGTAACACACAACCAGGATTTGGGTATTAGAGTACAAGGGACTCTGTTCTTTTTTTTAAGTGATGGGAGTAGGCAAGAGATGGCAGAGGTCTGAGGGAAGACTTTGTTAGTTCTTAAGGGGTTTTTCCCCCTCTCTGTATTCCCCTGTACCCCATTTCTCAAAGAGAAAAGCTATTAGCTCTTTAGTATTCTGGTGAGCTTAAGATCCAGTGCAAAAGAAAACTATCAGTGTTCTTCAGATATGAGGGTAAGCTGTACCTCATTTTTTTCAGCACTGGCCCTGCATGTACTGTAACACGTGAATTTTCTTGTCCTTTTTGACCTATTAACTAAACTTAAAATAGGCAGTCCTGGCTTTATGTGGTTCAGATATGAACAAATTCCAGTTATTACAGATTACTGAAGTGACATAAATCTCCCTATAACACAACTCAAGTTTCAGTTATTAGAATATATTAACTGTAATTCCATGCGGTTCAGACTTTGCTGGTGACTCTTCAGCCCACAAATCTCTATGTAAATAATGTACCTTAGGCAGAATAAGCTCATCCTGCCCCCAAATATACACAGCCTAGTCTCTGAAACCTGGGAAAAGGGACTATGCTGAGTTGAAGACCTTGAGACGAGAAGATGGGATTATCTGGGTGATTCCAGTATAAGCACAAGAGCCCTTACAAGAGAGAAGCAGATGGTCAGAGAGAGATTTGAAGATGCTGTACTTCTGGCTTTAAGATGGAAGAACAGACCATGAGCCAAGGAATGAATAAAGAATTTAGAAAACAGCTGGGCACAGTGGCGCATGCCTGTAATCCCAGGGGCTCAGGAGGCTGAGACAGGAGGATTATGAATTCAAAGCCAGCCTCAGCAACAGTGAGGCACTAAGCAACTCAGTGAGACCCTGTCTCTAAATAAAATACAAAATAGGGCTGGGGATGTGGCTCAGTGGTTAAGTGGCTCTGAATTCAATCCCGGGTACCTACCTTCCCCCCAAAAAATTTAGAAAACAGATTACACATATGAGAAATGATTAAAATGCCATTTCAAATTAGTGTTGGAAAGCCATTAAGTATAATGTTTTATATTTCTAAAACTATCGATCCATATTTCAAATTCGCTGAAAAAGAAGGCATGAAAGCAAGCGCATTCACAATAGATACACATACAGACAACCACCACCACTACCTGAGAATAAACTAAGGAGGTGTCTATTAAGGTCATTTGCTCATTTTTATAATGAAAATTTACAACATTGAAAGTAAATAAGTTATCAGAATACATTAAGACTTTACAGAAGAAACAGCCTTCTTTTAAACAAAGTTCAAAGGTCAGAAACTTTACATTAAAAAGAAAAATTCTCAGTATCAAAAAGTGACATTGTCAATAGTTAAGTCATAAAAGACACTGAAGAGTGTAACCTTAGGATCAGGACGTGATAGGTAATCCGAGGACAAAAGACACACCACGTGTCCCTCAGCACCTAAGGTGCTCAAGGCTCAGAACAGCCAGCAACTGTTTGTTACAGAGGAAAAAAGGGAAGATACAGTAAAGAGAAGAAATAAATAGAGTCTAAAACATACAAGAGATCAATGAAACCAAGGGTTGGTTATTTGAAAAGACAGACTTGACAAACCTGTGGCTAGATTAACCAAATCAACAACAAAGGTGAGGGGCAGGGGAAGAGAGAAGACTGAAATAAGTGAAATCAAAAATATGAAAAGGAGCTTTCACAACAGAAATACAATTATTAGGGATATTTTGAAAAACTATATGCTAAAAATTGGAAAATCTAGAAGAAATGGACAAATTTCTGAACACCCATGACTAATCAAAATTGAACCAAGAGGATGTAAAAACATCTGAATAGACCAATAGCAAGTAATGAGTTGAGTCAGTTAATAAAAAGTCTCCCAGCAAGGGAAAGCCCAGGACCTGATAGCTGCACTGCTGAATTTCACCACAATTTAGCACAAATGCCTCTCAAACTTTAATAGAACTGAAAGAGGGGGAACCCTTCCAAACTCATTCTATGAGGCCAGCATTTCATTATAATGAAATACCTTCTCACCTCAGTCAACATGGTGATGATTACCAAAAAAAAAAAATAGAAGGTAAAGAAAAATCCCCAAATAACAATGCTGGCCTTGTCACCCAAACCTGACAAAGACACAACAAAAAGGAAAAGTATAGACTAGTATTCTTGATGAACATAGATGCAAAATTCTCACAAAGTACTAGCAAATCAAAATTGAACAGCACATCAACAAGATCCTATTCCATGGTCAGGTTGGTTTCATTCCATGATGCAAGGATGGTTCAACATACACAAATCATTAACTGTAAGACATCACATAAAGAGACTGAAGGACAAAACATGATCATCTCAGTAGATTCAGAGAAAACATTTGATAGAATTCAACATCCCTTTAAGAGTATAGCCTTGGACAAACTTAAGTATGGAAGGATCATGACTCAGTATAATAAAGGCTATCCACAAAGACTCACACTGAATGGGGGAAAACCACACACATTTCCCCCAAGGGTGTCCACTTTCACTGTTCTTATTCAATATTGCAGGGTTTCTGTTCTCGTGACTAAAAGGCTCAGGGGTCACTCCAGTTGAACTGGGCTAACTGGGTTGCGCAAAATGACCACACAAGAGACACAAATACCTTTTTCTTTGGGGTCGCTGTGACGGCTCCTCTGCCCTTAATGGTCCACAGGAAGAGAGAGAGCGAGAGCACACGCTGACCCTTTTATTGAGGAAAAGCTATTCAAATGAAGCAAGGGCTCAGATTTCAGGGGGCCGAGTCTATCTTCATGATGTCCACTGTCAGCAGGTTGACTGACACCTGGGTAGGCCACCAAGGGCATAGTAAGAGAAGGGGACACACACAAGGCACTTCCATGGAAGATTCTATCCTAAACAGGGCAAGGGATTATATTTCAAAGGAACAGGTGAGCATAGCTTCACCCATGGGGCTGTAGCAAGACACCGACCCTCAAACCCAAGAAGGGTGGGGAAAGCTCTGCCACATTTCTGTGACTGAGTGCCTCAGCACCCAGCTGGGGAGTGTGACTCGGTCATGTGTAAGGTTGGTCTCCTACACAGTATAGCACCAGAAGTTTCAGTCAGAATAGTCAGACAAGAGAAAGAAAGACAAATAAGGAGGAAGTAAAATAATCCATTTGCAGAAAAGACTCCACCAAAAAATGATTAGACTATTAGAAATACAGTAAGGCAGCAGGATACAAAACCAACATGAAAAGTCAGATTTTCTATACACCAATAATGAATTTGAAGTGGCACCCCCTTTCTCCATAGAAAAGTCCTCTTCACCATGGCTGATTTTAGGACTGTCAGCAAAAGAGTCTGCAAAAGAGTTCAATGTAGATAAACTTCCTATTTTCGTGTTGCACTGTTTTACTTGGCCAAGAAGATACCAGCACTCCAGGCGCTGGACACCCCCTTACTAGTTTTTCACAAACATATCCAGTATAGTAGTTTGTGGAAATGTGCAAACAAGGCCTCTGACCTTGAGTTGGGCTTCACAGAGATGTCTGTATTTTTAAGATAAGTTACAATTGGGYTCCATGGTAACAGCTGGCAGGGGGAGGAAAGAAAGGGGAGAAGAAGCTCTCCCCTTCTCAGGTGTTGTCCTTGAAGGGTTAATTTGCCCAGAACAGTGAAAGAAAAAGCTGCTTTTATGTGAACTTCTGCAGACCTTGAACTTCTGAGCCTCTCCCCTTACATGCTGGGTATAAAACTCTGAAACTCCCTGATTTCAGAGGATTCAGGGGATTACTTGATTACAACAAAAGCTGTGCCCTCTGAACTTGGCTGCAGCCAAATAAAACTGTTTCCTGCTGTCTTTGGTGCCTTGTCTCGTTTTTCCCTGCAACAAATTCGCTGAGAAAGAAGGCATGAAAGCAAGCGCATTCCCAATAGATACACAT